ATCAGTAACTTACTTTATACCTTAAGGAACTAAAATAAAAAATGAGAGTGGGATCATTACTACTGACCTTACAGAAATAAGAAGGATTATAAGAGAATACTATGCATAATCATATGCCAACAAATTAAGATAACCTAGAATGGATAAGTTCTAGAAACACACATAAAGGGTGGGTTTTTCCTGATGATCACATATTTTTACACATTGGGGTGGGTTTTTCCTGATGATCACATATTTTTACATCAGTCCAGCAAAGTCTCACAAAGGTTTACACAAGTGAGGAACTCAGCAGCTATAAACAGCCCTTCCAAAATTCTAAATGAAGCAGAAAGACAGAAAAAAAAAAAAAAAAAACCCAAAAAACCCAGAATGATTGCTCCAGAGAACTTACTAGTGGTGTGACAGCTGATATAGCTCTGGATTCCTTTTATCCTATGGCCAGGACACCATTCTTGACGATCACCATTCTTGCACACTCAAAACCTCATAAGGTTATCTACATACTATGTTATAAAAATCTAGCTATGAACATTTCTTGATGTTGGGGAGAAAAGTTGTCATTTTTCTTTTCATTCCTCATCACCCAATAAATTCGTTCTCCCCCCCCAAACTGTAATTCAAATAAATCAAGTGCTTTCATCTTTATGATGACAAATGATCTGCTTCACACCACTAGGGTATTCTTGCATTTAATTTTTTTATAAAAGCAGCCAATGATGATAATGACTACACTAGTATTAGCATTCAATGCAATCATTTAACTTATTTAAAGGAACGTGAGTACTAGCAGAACACAGATCACTGAAGAGAACACAACTATCCGATATTCCATTCTAACATATCCTTCCCAATCAAAAGCTTTAGGAGGAGAAGCCTAAGGCAGAACAGATGTGTTTCAATCTACACTGACACAGAAGCTTTGGATACCTTTATAAACTCTTTTATTTGTCATGTAAGTGTATCCAAATAAGGCAAATTAGGAATGAGACTGATTTTCTACCAACATGAAATATGTCTCAACCATTTTCTTTCAAAATATACTTAGAATATGAATCCTTACAAAACAAAGAAACAAAACTACCTGAACATGATAAAGAGGAGAGAGAAGAGTCTTACTTCTTTAATGATCTCCTTTACCTTGTAAGTTGTCATTCGATGTTGAGCAATTGCTGTCAGTTTTTCTAGAAGGCCTCGTAATCGCTCCTGTGTTGCATGGGAGATCAAGTTCACAGCATCAGAGTTAAGTTCCGTAATGTCATGCTTTTTACCTGTGGAAGCAGAGAAAATCCATTACGTGTTTTAGTAGAGGCTGATAATTGAAATAATTAGCACAGCAGGTATTCTGTTCCCCCTGGAAGTCATACCCATTATGAATAAAGGTTTGGAGATTATGATTTTCCTGGTAAAGTCACAACTTCAAAGATCTTAGACATTATATTAATAAAACCTAGCCTGAAGCCTCAAAAAATATAGACATTGTTTCACTTAGCCTCTAGAATCATTCTCTTTGCAAGGTCATTTATAGGACAAAGTTAATAAGAACACAAATCAAGTCTAGTGTTCAGGGAGAAAAATGGTAACTGCAGAAATCAGTGCCATATTCTGTTAATTTTAGTAATTAAAAAAATAGAAAATTACATTTTGTCCTATTTGACACTGTTAACAATTTATGACATTTATTTCAATGAATTCAGACTGTCAGTCTCTGTTAATGCCTCACCTAAAAGACATACCTATACTCCAATCACGCTTATTTTTTGCACTAACTCATTCTGATAAATTGACCTAGTAATTAAATTACAAGTTGAAATGGGTTCAAAGTCTCGTTATTTCACCCATCCATTTGAATAACTTCTCTTTCACTATATATCCTTCCATAAACAAACCAAACTTCTATTCTTCCTTTTGCTAACTAGGATGAAACTTTCAGGAAAACAATTTGGACCACATACCCAAAGGCAAAAGTTCATTTATAAATCAACCTTATAACTATTTAAATAGTAATTCTCCAGCTCAGTGAAACCACCTGTATCAACAGAGACCTAAATCTAAAGATATAGGCAATTAGGTAGTCTAATTTAAATAAGCTTTTAATAGTGCTATTGTGTTTCTTTTTAATATATGCAGACACACAGAAATTTAAAAAATATCACTGTTTCTGCACGTCATCTAAAATGTATTCTTATATATGCATCAAAGTGTGAATGAGTATGACAAAAATAAACTTAAATAAAAGCCAGCAAATCTTAAATAAATTCTTGACACTATTCCATAATAAATAGTAAACATTAATTCATAATGCAGGCTACAATAAACTGGACAAGAGGAAGATATAAAATTATCCAACTTCAAAGCTAAACCTTCAAAATATAGTTCATTACTTTCTAGCAAAACTGAATTCATTGCCAATTTTAGATTCAAGAGGGGAAAACAAACTACAAAGTCAAATCTACTTTAATAAAACCAACATAAACAAATAGCGGGGGCCTTCTACAGAAGGGATAGTACAATTTCAAAACTATCCGATGATTAAAATTACAACTAAACACCGGGTAGGTAGGGAATGACATGCCAGTTCATGCTTAAATTAAAGAAAATGAACATTTACAAATATTTAGTGTTTTGCAGGGAAACTCTGAAAATAATTTCATATGTACGTATAAAATAGATAATTCATTCCATGTAAAAGACCATATTTTTAAAATATTAGAAATAAACAAGGCTGGGATTTGCAAACAATTTTAGGGCTTAGTGAACAATCAAATGTTCTAAGATCTTCACAAAACTGACAATAAAACATGACAAAGTTATAAAGTTAAATACCATAAGAAAACTTTCCACTTTTAAATAAAGCACCCACTTTAACAAAATCAACATGACTGATCAAGGAGATCTAGTTGGTGCTTGCAAGCTTCTTATGTGATTTCATAGAATGTCTGTGTAATTTAGGTAATTAGCAAAAAAAGGCAGAACACTGGCATGTTTACTCTTCTAACATATTCAAGTAGAAAAAAAATCCCTTTAAAAAAATTCTGTAAAGATAAAATTTTACTATAAATGGAAAACGTTCCTAGAAATACATAACTCTATTCACTCTATGGTATTTTTTTTTTTTAAGTGTAGATAATTTAGAAGTAAGAAGTTTTGCAATTTCCCATGATATTAAATGACTAGTTCGTGCTTCATCATTAAGAAATGAAAACACAATAGTTGGATCTAGAATTCTCCTTGAAAGCAGAGTCTACAAACTAAATCTGGTCTCTTTTAGGGTATTACATTTGATAGAAATACAGTCTTGCCTATTTATTTACATACAGTCTATGCTGCTTTTGCACTGTAGCTGCAGAGTTGAGTAGTTGTGACACAGACCACATGGCCCACAAAGCGGCAAATATTTACTATCTAGCCCTTTGCGAAAAACTGCCAATCCCCGTCCTAAACGATCGAAAATGCTCTTTCAATGCTAAAAAATTTTCTATCATATAATCAAGGTTTAAATCATGCTAGAAATAAAATTGTAAGGGAGAGGATTGACAAAGTAATCTACTTCTACTCTACCAAAGCTCCAGGTTACAAAGAGTTCAAATAAATACCAGGAAATTTCCCAAGGTGTCACAGGAAGTTATAGTGCCTAGGCTTGTTCCAACATTAAGAAACTAGATCTTGTACAGCACAAAATACATATGCAAAAAAGAAAACATGAAAGAGAGAAAGAGAGAGGGAAGAAGGGATAGGGGAGAAAAGTCAAACAAAACACAAGCAAACATTTTACAATCAGCTCTTCTGAATTCCTATCCTTTTGGACAACTTGTACATTCTAGCTTTTCATGATCGAAGAAAGATAATATATACCCAACTTAGAGATAAAAAAGTAGTAATTTGCATAGCATATAGTAGGTACTCAAATATTTATTGAGTAGTTTATAAAGAAAACTTAAAATATGTAATAGTAATGTACTTTGCAGTCCTTAAATATACCATGGGTATATCAAAAATCAGAAACCTTCACATTTTTGTTAGACCTTCGATATAAAATGTAAAGGCTCTTACTCAAAGGTCACTAGCACTGGTCCCCAAATTTGACATGGGTGAAGGAGGAAAGCTTATTTCCAGTAAGGCCCAGGGTCAGGACAAGAAATGAGATACCTCACACAATAATCTTTCACCAATCTGTCTCTTTTTTTCTGTTAATTTAGGGAGAGTACAGCCTTTCATATTACTGTGAGTTTGGTATTAAACAACAACAATGAAAAGCTGTTTGGCTCCAGAATAATACTGGTATGTTCTCTTTCATTTCCTTTCACATACTGCAGAACCCTAATATTTTAATTCAGTTCTTTTAATGAAAAGGTGGGTTTAACTTTCAGGACTGAGATATATTCATATAAAAACATATACATCTCCCATTAAGAAATATGAATAAAATATTAACTTGTTTTCTAACCCAGAAACCACTGGTTATACATGACTTATGTTAATAGTTTTAAAATAAAATATCTCTTTATGTAATTACTATGACATCTTATTTATTTCCAGAGCCTTATGTAAGCCTTAGAGTTCCAGCTAAGCTACCTCTTTGAATAACATTTTCCATGGAATGAATAGTCCCATTGGATCAATAATCATAAGTTTGCACTTACCAATGTCCAAAATTCTCTTTTGTAGAGCTCCAATGAAAAGAAATGGTTCATCTTTACATGACTGAATGAGCGTGCCAACCAATTCAGAGTTTGTTGCTAAGATGCAAGCATTTTCTTCATTGAGGCTGACTCCTGCCATGGAAGTTACATCATTGATATCATCTTCATCTCTAAAAGAAAACAAAGATATAGCTTTTTGGTGGTGGTGGTGGTGGTGGTGCTTATGAATGATTTGAGAGCAAAAAATTATAGATCTCTCCTTATAAATAAGGACATAATTTTATTCAATTCATCCAAATGAAAAGAATTGAAGAATGGCTATCTTTCCCTGTAAGCCTTTAAAATTAACTAGTATTTCTAACCACTGTGTACATTTAATATCAGAAAAATAAATCAGAAGCAACTTTGTCTTCTAGTGCCCAACTCCTTCTCTCAGTTTAGTAAATGAGATATACCAAGAAGGATTTGGAACTATACTATGTTATCCACAAATTCCTTGCAATGAAAGACACAGAAATGAAAACAGACTTCTTTGTTTTCATCCAAGATGATTAAAAGCCCTTCAGATTTCCCCAGTGCACTACACTGTTCCACTGAGGGGTAGCAGAAATTACCTAGTCATAAAAGATCCATACCCATACAAAGGGACTTGAGAAGCAGCTTTATTGACTAGCTATTCTGAAACCAAATGGTTAAAACTAGTTTTGTTTTTCTGTTTCAGACTTTTGGTGTGCTCCATCTGTACTCATTGAATTCATTAAACCACATCCTTGAGCAAATGGCTGCAAAGAGCCTATATATAACATATAAAATTAAACACACACATTTACAAAAGACATACATGTAAAACGTAAAATGTCTGAGCTCCTTATCTTGTACCAGCAAAATTAAATAGTTGTTTTTATCTAACAGAATTGCTAAATGGCTATAGTAGTAAGATGAGTATATATATAAATGTTTAAGGATAGAAAGAGTCAGACAGAGAGAGACAGAGAGAGACAGACAGAGAAAGAGAGAAAGAGAGAGAGAGAGAGAGAAAAAAGAAATTCTAAAATTTCTTCAAGGCACCTTTATCACCTATATAATAACAAGCACATTACTGATCATAACGTCCACAACAATGTATAACTTACGTAAACATGATTATATAAAAAAATGTTGTTTCTCTTTATTGCATGGACCAAATGGTACACCATGTGGTCTCATGTCAATAGATTTACATTATGAACCTCTCTGACAATGCATTTGTGCACAGAAAAAGGAAATAAATTATAATTGTCAAGTACTCAAGAAATGAAGGCCTCTGGTGTTCAACTTTAAAAAGCAGCACAATGGGGTAGGAAATGGTTCCTACTTAAAACGTATACGTATATGAGATGTAAACTAAAGAAAGTAAAGTGATAGACATAGCAGTTGAAAGTAAAGAAAAAAATGGTCTTATAATCAAAACAGTATATTTAAAAGTTCAACATTAAAAGGTATGTTTTTGCAATGGCAAAAAGAAAAAAGTAAAGCAATTAATATCTCAAACTAACAAATGAAATATTCAATATAAAGAAACTATATGAATATGGTTGGACTCCACCTTATCAAATGTCACAGACGTATTGTCAGAAGTATGAGAGGCTGAGAATGGGTCTAAAAATCAATTTGCCATCTATGTAAATAAAATAATATGTCCAGAAACATCTATATACCTAAAGTCTAAGTGTATAAAGATGAACCAAGATCTGAGTGAAAAAGTATTTTAAGAGGTGTGACTAACAAGTATTTTTAAAAAACCAAGTATCAAGAGAATAAAAAGACAAGCCACAGACTGGGAGAAAATATTTGCAAGACACACATCTGATAAAGGACTATTATCCAAAATATACAAAGAATTCTTAAAACCCAACAGTAAGAAAACAAACAACCTAATTAAAAACCAGGCCAAAAACCTGAACAGAAACCTCAACAAAGAATATACAGATGCCAATAAGCATATGAAAAAAGGATCCACATCTTATGTCATCAGAGAAATGCAAATTAAAATGAGATAACACTACGCACCTATTAATTGGCCAAAATTCTGAACACTGACAACACCAAATGCTGGTGAGGATGTGGAGCAATAGTAATTTTCATTCGTTGCTGGTGGGAAGGCAAAATGGTATAGCCACTTTGAAAGACAGTTTGGCAGTTTATTATAAAACTAAATGTACTCTTACCATACGATTCAGCACTTGCACTCCTTGGTATTTACCTAAAAGAGCTGAATATTTACTTCCACATAAAAACTTGTGCACGAATGTTTGTAGCAGCTCACTCGTTAACTGCCAAAATGTTGAAACAACCAAGATGTCCTTCAGTAAGTAAATGGATAAACTGTGGTACACCCAAACAAATAAATACAAATCAGTGCTAAAAAAATTTGAGCTATCACACCATGAAAAGGCATGGAGGCAACAAATGCACATTACTAAGTGAAGGAAGCCAATTTGAAAGGGTAAATAATGGTAATTTCAACTATATGATACTCTGGAAAAGACCAAACTACAGAGACAGTGGCTGCCAAGGAGTTAAAGGGGAGGAAGGAAGGGATGAATAGGTAGAGCCCAGAGTATTTTTAGGGCAGTGGAACCACTCTGTGTGATACTATAATGGTAGATACATATCATTATACATTTGTCAAAACCCATAGAAGGTACAACACTATGAGTGAATCGTAATATAAATTATGGACTTTGGGTGATAATGATGCATCAGTGTAAGTTCATCAATCATAACAAATAGATCACTCTGATTGTAGATGTTGATAATGAGGAAGGTTGTGACTATGGTGGAAGGAGAGGGAATTCTCTACATTTGATTTTACTGTGAACCTAAAACTGCTCTAATAAACAAAGTCTATTTTAAAAAAATGACCAAGTACACATCAATGAAAAGTCAGTTCACTCCAAAACAGAATCCTAACCAGTTACTTAATATATCTGAGCCTCAAATTCTTCTTCCCCTGAAAAACCAATTAACTTAGAGTAGGTGCTTCCTAAGGTCTCCCTCAGCCACTCCAAAGAACAAGACAGCTCTCTTTGACCTGATTCAGAACAATCACCAAAGTTTACTGTAAAGTGAAGGGAAAAAAAAGAAAAACAATGTGCAGAATACACAGTACCTTAAAAAAATTACACAACACACATACACACATGGAAAGATACATGAGAAATTCCCCTTGGGAAAGTGAAATAGAGAAAGAGAGATAGGAATAAGGCTTATACCATATTATACTCCTTTCTACCTTTTGAATTTTGTACTATGTACATGGATTACCTAATCAAAATGATTAGTGATATTAAAAAAATAAGTAAACATTTAGAGCAAGAAAACTGGAGATAGAAAATAAGATGAAGTTTAGACATATAACCTCATCCTTCCCTTAAAAATAAAATCAGAATCATTTAAGTTATAGACACATGGCCTTTATACACATGCACGTAACATTGAATGTTTATAATTTCAGATGTGTGTCAGGGTACACAGGCCCTGCAAACTGCCCCTTGCATTCACAGGAGGGTTCCTGCATAGTCCCTGTTAAGATTTCACACATAGGCTGCAGAGAGCAATACCAGGCCTACTTACTACCAGTTCCTAGCATAGTACTAGAATGGAATAGAATTTATCAATGAGGAGACAGTCCCATGTTTTTTTAGAATGTTCTTGCAGCTCTCATCTGCAAATAAGCAGAGAACTAACCACCCAATAAGATCTGTTCTTGCCTATCTTCCCTCTGCCTATCTGGCCCCAAGCTGAACACAACTCCCTCTAGTAGAGCTGCCAGTTGCTATGGTTACAGAGGGCAGCAGTAGAGGAAGACCCCTCTTGAGAAAAGAGGAAAAGGTGCCACAATAAACAGTACCCAAGCCATTTTAAACTTCCTCCAAGAAAGTAGACAGACTGGAGGAAAGCAAAGACAACACAGTGTTGTAACAGCAGTATCAATAAGGCTAAGACAGTAATAAAGGCTTTGATGTTGAGGCTTATTTGTGATTGTGGTTCGATTTTAATTTTAAAAGAAAAGGAAGTGAGAACCTCCGAATCACATCTTCAAGTTTTCTGGACTAATGTGGTGCTTGCCTTTTGATGAAGGCTCTGTTAAAAACAATGTTTTATTTTTAAAGACATACAAAAAAGAAATTTAATAGTGCCTCAGTAGAAAAAGGCTTCCAACTTAGATTCTGTGGGGTGTAATAGGGTACTATACAAAAAGTAAAGAAGTATTACCTAATTATCATTAATGCCTTGTATTCTGGCTTCTGAAACTGATGAAATTTTTTAGCTTTGTGCCTGCCTCTTAAGATCTATAATATCACCCAACTACTAATTCTTCTAACGAAGAGTGAATCACATCACTTTCCTATTCAAAATCTTCCATGTTCCCACGAACTCAACCTGATATTCAAGGCTTTCCAGATAATGACCTTAGCTTAGTCCTCCCTCTCTCACTATTCACTATTGAATAGCTCCTACTGATTCTGGCCTTTGCTCAGGCTATTTATTCCCTTCCTGTTATAGTCTTCAACAACTCTTGCTTTATTATCTTTCAGCTGTCAAAGCCTTATCCATAGCCAGGCCTACCTCAAATGCCTACTTTAGAAATGCTGGTTTAGTTTGTGTTTATACTTTTAAAGTATTTGTCCAATTGCTAAACCTTCTGAACTGCTGAGAACACGTTTTGTCTCTGTTATGATGGGTCTTACTCTGTCTTCTACTCTAATAACCCACATAAACTCCAACCAGAATAATTTTATTGATATTAATCATGTTTATGTATATCATTCCTCAGAGTAGTGTATAAATGGTACTTAAATAGTTGAGAAATTTCTTTATGTTCAGAACAGTGTGCTGTTTATCTATTACAATGTATTGGCAAGCAGAAGAACGCAAGTAAAAATGATAAAGGCGGAGTCAAAATGCCTACTATGGAATCTAGACTCTGTCACTTAGTATTTATGTGAAATAAAACAAACCGATTAATCTCTCTAGACCCGCGTCTTCAGTTAAGTCGGGGACGTTATAGTCCCCATATCTTAGAGAGAGGATTGAATAAAGTAATCCATACTGTGGAAAAATTATCTTTATAAAGAGCACTTACAAATATCTAGGGAAAAGGCCAACAATCCAATGGAAAAATAGG